CACAGAGAGAGAGAGAGAGAGAGAGAGAGAGAGAGAGAGAGAGAGACAGAGAGAGGGAGAGAGAGGGAGAGAGAGACAGAGAGAGACAGACAGACAGACAGACACACACACACACAGAGAGAGAGAGAAAGACAGAGAGAGAGAGAGAGAGAGAGAGAGAGAGAGAGAGAGAGAGAGAGAGAGAATTTGGCAATTTGGCCAAGCAGAAACAGGACTTGAGGCCTTGGGTCTTGTGGCTTCTGCACTTCTCCACACTTTGTAATTACTCAGCACCACTTGCTGCCTCTGATCTGCTACAGAGCTGTGATCCTGTGAGGCCACCCTGCCGGCATGGGAGTCAGTTACCTGTAGAGCTGTCGTCTCCGTGGCAGGTCCTCTGTGCTCAGGAAGTAGCTGTGGATATGGGGAAGGCGTACATGGTTAGCTTGCCTCAGGGCACATGCTCAGGGCACAAGCCCCACCCTAGCATTTTCACAGTGCCTCTAAGGGACCGGGACCAAATGATGAGCTGTGCTCATGTTAGGTCGGGCCTCACTCATGACCACAGCAGGGGAAGGCCAGAGGGACACGCGGTCAACATCAGGCACTGGTCCTGGCCCCGATGCTCTGGGTCCTGATGCAGCAGTGAGGGCAGTGGCGGTGTGCACCTAGATGTGAACATGGGGTTTTCCCTAGAGTTAGCAGCCTCCTGAGGGGCAAGGACTAGAGAAGACTTTATATGATCCCATAAAGCCCGGTCTGGGGAACGCACATCTGCCAGTTTCCTCCTAAGCCTCAGAGTTCAGAAGCAGGGCTGGGCCTGGACTCCTAAGGAGTGAAACCTGGCTCCATCTGGGGACAGCAGATTAATTTCTTTACATCTTTGTATTTATTTTTAAGTGTGTATGTGCATGCTTGTGTGTATACAGGTGAACATGCGTGCACTCGCCTGTAGAGGCTATAGGCTGACCTTGGGTGTCATTCCATCTGGTTTTCTTTTGAGGCAGGATCTCTCATTGTGACTTGGCTCACTGATTAGGTGAGACTTGTTGATTAGCAAGCTCCAGGGCCCCTCTTCCCAAGCCCTGGGATTACAAGCACAAGCCACCATGCCTGGCTTTTAATGTGGGTTCTGGGGATTGAACTCAGGTCCTCATGCTTGCACAGTGAGCACTTTAACAATGGAGCCATCTTCCCAGCCCATGTCTTAGTTTATTTTTAAAAGGGCAATCTGACCTATCCTAACATATAACCACAGTATTAATGAGATCATGTTGGAGCTGCCCTCAGCCTGTGTCAGGTCTACGGAGACTCAGTAAACAGCTGTCACAGAGCAACTATCTCTGTGAATCCATGTCGCCTCACTGGTCTGTGCAATCTTCCCTTTGTCGTCGTGCCTTGTACCTTTGGGAGTTGGCTGAGTCAGTACCTGGGCTCACATTGAAGCTAAGGGTGAGTGCTACGATCTAGGGGGCCTCTTGCAGTATGTTTGACTGAAAACAAGTGGGTCTGCTAGCAGTAAGAGGCAGCTCCTGGGCCCAGCCCCAGTTTGCACTCACATTTTATTCCGTTTCTCATCATAGGACAGGATCTTGGTCACATCCCAGTCCCCAGAGGTGATGGACTGGATGTTGTCATTGCTGCTGTTGGGCTGAAATACAGACAAGATGTCAGGAGGGAGACACTGGGCTCCAGCTTTGCTGCCTCATTCTGGAGCCTGTCATCCGCCTGCTTTCTGCTTCTCTTCTGTGTGGCTCGGCTTGAAGTCAGCATCCTCTGTGATGGGCTCTGATGCCCACCCCACGGTCTGAGTGTCACTGATGACAGTATCACATGGTTCCTCTGCAGGGCTTGTTTCTGGCACCTCATTTCACGTTCTACAGATACACACCTAAGGCCAATGCCCTTGTGAATTTAATGTTTGTGTTGGGACCCAGGATGAAGGAAAGAGAGTGTGTGGGGAAAAGGATAAAGTCAGGCAAAACCAGGAAGGAGTTGAGAGGGATGAACTCAGTGCAGTTCTTCTGTTGCTCTCTGTCATCCTTTCTGGGGTCCAGGTGCCACAGGGACTGACTGTGACTCCTGCTCAGCTGACATACTTCTCAAGTGTCTCCCAGAGCCCTGAACTGTAGTCACACAGAACCTGCCATCATGGTACCAGGTATAGACAGCATTTAAATATTCAGGTGAGATGCTGAGGCGCAGCTGTGGGTGGCTGTTCTGAGTTGCATGTGCTCTGGAGAACCAGAGTGGATGGGATAGAGCCTGGCTCAGGTGATTCAGGGCAACACCTGGGACTGCAGACCCAGTAGCAGGCCGTGCATGTGTGTGTGTGTGTGTGTGTGTGTGTGTGTGTGTGTGTGTGCACACGCATGCACGCGTGCACCTGCGTATGGGTGTGAATTCAGAAAGGCAGTGCAGCCTCAGGCAGTCCTTGATTTGGAAGCAGAGGCCAGGCAAGAGTGGGTGCCTGGAGCAAGGTGGGAACCATTTTCTGATGGATGCTAAGGGGTTCTCAGCAAATTCTGATCATCTGCAGGAATTTGGAAACTGGGGCTGAATGCAAGCATCAAAAAATTTTAAATCTTACTTGAAATGGTCCCAGTAAGAATGTGAACAAATCAAATCAGGTTTTGGACATCTTCTATGTAATGTGATTAAGTGGCTAGGAAATGAAATGACTGCCTAAGATGGTAGTAGCCATCATTCTCACTCAAGGCCTCTCAGGCCCCTTCTCTCCTCCTCCCCAGACATTCCTTGAGGGATGATCCTGTTGTCTTTCTTCTGGGTCCACATCATACACATGGGCCTCCTACTTCCTATCCATAGTGTTTCCAGACAGCCTTCTTCCTAATTACATTTTATATACTTTCCCCCAATTCTCCATCACTTCAGTTATCTTTAAAATAAAACCTGCACAAAGAAGATGGGGTTGGTGACACAGGGCCAAGCACATCCCCATCGCTCCCACCGTCAGTCTCAGGGCAGAGATCTCAAAATTCAGCATTCAGGCAGCTCTTCCTATAGCGACTGTGCCTGCAGCAGGCATTCCCAGAAAATCCACTCTCCTGCTCAGCAGCACTTATCCTAAGTGGCCTGACCAGGACAGGTGAGTTTGAGTGGCAGCTATGGTATCATTAAGGTCAAGGTAGAGGCAGTGCTGGGGTTAGGGAGAGACTCATGAAGCACATAGGGCTTGAGGGAAGGGTGGGTGCCAGGAAGGACAGACAGGTACTTGTTCTGTTTTGTTTTTGGGTTTCTCTGTGGCTTTGGAGGCTGTCCTGGAACTAGCTCTTGTAGACCAGGCTGGCCTCGAACTCACAGAGATCCACCTGCCTCTGCCTCCGGAGTGCTGGAATTAAAGGCGTGTGCCAACAATAGCCTGGCAGACAGACAGGTACTTAGTGGTCATCTTGAATCCTCATTGCTATCCACCAGTGAGTCCCCGTGTCCCTCTGTTGTTGCTAGAAATGTCACATCTCATGTTCATGTTCTTGAGTATTAGTAGAAAATCTAGACTCCAGTCACTGCCCTGCTCAGAGCCTCTGTATTTGGACAAGTGCCATGCTGCCTTGGTCTGCGAGCATCAGCCTCCCAGGGCTCCTTGGAGTCCCGAGAAGGGTGAGTGTGGACACCCCGAGGTCAGCTCCGATGGTGCAACAGCACAGAGGGTAGTGGATTTACCTGGGATGATGACACAGTGATGTGGTAGAATTTCCCCCGTCCCCCCTGCGGGATGGCTCTGACAAAGAAAAACTTGCGGCCATCCTTGGAGAACACGGGCTCTTCATTCTGTGGACAAAGGTGGCAGGCCTGTCAACACAAAGCTACATGGGATCATGAAGAGTGAGTGGGGGAAGGGGCACCCTCAGGTGTGATTTCTAATGATGGAGGGAGCTGAAGAGTGAGCCTGTGTGGGCTTCACTCTCTTTGGGGCTATAGAGCCAGACCTTTGGTTTTCTAAAAGCAGAGGGAGAAAGGGGCACCCAAGTTCACAGACCAGATGGCTCATTTGGTAAAATGCTTGCTCTGCAAGCATGAAGACCTGGGTGCAGACCTCCAGAACGATGTGAAAACCAGGGAGTGGCAGCAAGGGTGTGGATGTAACCCCAGTGCTGTGGGAGCAGAGATAGGCAGATCCCTCAAGCTGGCCAGTCAGCATAATATACTCGGGAGCTCCAGGTTTAGTGAGGGATCCAATCTCAAAAAGTTAGGTGGAGAGCATCTGAGGAAGACACCCGACATCAACCTTTGTCCTACACACACACACTCACACACACACACACACACACACACACACACACACACGTATGTACGCACACCTTTGGACACACACATATACATACATACACACACACACAGACACACGGACACACGGACACACAGACACACGGACACACACACACACACACACACACACACACACACACACACAATTCTGTACGCACACCTTTGCATGCCTGCACAAACATGTACATACACCTCACCCCCCCACTTGCAGATCACATCCCAGGGGCAGAGTCAGACAACACTGTTGCCCACAGTATGCAAAGATCAGTGAAGAAATGGGTTTGCACACACATCAATCCATCTCATGAGTGGGAACTAGACCCGGGGATACACTCTGGATTTCAATAGTTGCTGTGAAAGCCTCGAGCATGCAAAGCTGCTGGACTGACTTCTGTCTTACACCAGCTCAAAGGCAATTGGGAAGAGTAGTCACAGACCCCACTTTTCCTTGCCTAGTCCTGTCTTCTATTCTTTTCCTTAATAAAATCTCTCCCACACTGACTTATCCATTGAGGATGCATGCCAAATGGACCAATTGTGTCTATTTCAAAATGCAGACAGCAGAAAGAGTCCTTCTGGGCCTGGTTCTCACTAGGGGCATCCCCAAAAGGCAGGTGCTAGGCAGTGTATCAGTACGAACAACACTCACTTCTCCCTGAAATCAACTCTGGGGTCAACAGCTGGATGTAAGGCCCGAGAGGTAGCCTGTTACCATGCTCTATTCCTGGCACCGCAAGAGCTAAGCAGGCAGGCTCTTGCAGTCCTTAGCCTGCCGTAGTGGGAAGTGGCCACTCCAATGGGCACAGAGTGCTTTTTGGTTCAGTAGCATCTGAACTACACTCTGAAATCAAAGTTGGGAGGTTTGCATCAGTAAACGCCAACTAGCCGGCTCCTCCAATTATGGTGAAGGTGTATCTATATTGTAATTCAAGAAGCTGCCTGATAATGCAAGGATGAGAACAAACAGTAAACAAACGCAGCTGGCCCAGGAAAAACTCATTTCCCCACAGTGAAGGAACACATGCAAATACGATGTGCTCAGAGAAATGAACCAACATGTGATTAAAATGACATTTAATCTTCATGAATATTTGCAATAAAATGAAACCTTTAATCTGCAAATATTGATTTTTCTATTTAGAGTTGGGAGTGTGGTATTTAACAGGAGAGGGGGTGGAAAAGAGCAGCAGTTAATTTGGCTTTTTAGATGGACTTCTGTTTGCCAGCGATGGGATGGGCAAGGCAATAGTCTCCTAGTTTTCTGGGGGAAATGTTTGCACTTTGGACAAAGATTAAAAGTAATATGATTAATTCTGGACAGAAGCATTGTACACATATTAAGGAGGCCTCAGCTTCTGAGGTCATTGGTTCACTGCTCTCCAGAACCTTCCAGAATGTGCTGAGGAAGGCGTCTGCTGCCAGCCTTTGGAAACTTGCTCATGTAGTAATTGTGTGTGTGTGTGTGTGTGTGTGTGTGTGTGTGTGTGTGTGTGTGTGTGTGTGGACACTGGAGACCAGATAGATGTCAATCTTGTCTTTTCTCCCTCAGGACACTGTCACCCTGTGTTCTGTGATGTGCTTGGGATGTGCTGATTTGGCTAGGTTGAATGGCCAGTGGATCCTAGGGATCCTCCTGTCTCTACCTTTCCAGTGTCAGGATTGCAAGCTTGTACCACAATGCCTTGTGTTTGTTTGTGTGGATTCTGGGGGTTGAACTCAGTTTTTTATGCTTGCATAGCAAGTCCTTTACTGGCTATCACTGCAGTCCAGTAAGCAAACTTTTCGTGACAAAGTGCAGGACTTTTTTGATGTGGGCACCAGGATTTTAATACAAGTTCTGCCTCTTGCTTGATGCTGGGTGATTCTGAGACATGTGTAGCAGGGTGTTGTAACACAGAGAAGGTGGATGGGCAGTGGAGTGTGGCCTCAGTGTGACTCCCCAAGTTATGCCTGTGGCCTCAGATGAGATCCTGAAGGGGCAGCCAGTGACTTTCTGGCAGCTGATGGTAGCCCAGCCTTACATAGGCTCCTATGATGCCTGGCATTCCCACACCACAGCAAAGGAGGCAGATCAGTTTCAAAAACAGTGTCCATGAAGTCCCTTTAGGGAAAAACGATGCAATGGGAAGCTATTTGAAACTGGATTTCTCTGGAGCTTAATTAGTTATGAGCCCCTATAAAGTCTCAGATCATGGTATGTAGGTAGTCAGCCTCACTGTGGCTTGTCATGGCAGCTCTGGCCAACTCATAGGGTTCCAGACCATGGTGTGTAGATAGCCTCACTATGGCTTCTCACCACAGCCCAGGATGGAACACACCGATCCTGAGTGAATGGGTGGGTGGCCTGAAAGAGCCACACAGTGTCTCAGAGACAAGTATTCTTACAGAGAACATGGTGCTTTAATAAAACATCTAATAAAATGGGCATTTAGGGCATTCATGGCACGGTGCCTTCTCTAGTTCTAGTTTCTCTCATATTTAAAGAGATTGCTCCTTCAAATATCAGCTAATTGCTGGTTAATTAGAAATTCACATTTTAAAACAGTAAAAAAATTACTGTTATGCCACTATTGCTCCATACTCATGTTTCTGGGAGAGGGCCTGGTTTCCTGAGTGATGTTCAGGAGTTCAACATTCAAACTCATGTCTGAGCTGGTGGCTTTCTCCCACATGGTGAGATGTTCAGTCAGAAAATATAGGGAAATCCAGCTGCTGTTGGCTCTGTGGCCACTCTGACATGCTGAAGAGGAAGACAGAGGAGAACAGCTGGAGGATCTGTCCCCAGAACCCTAGGACAAGGCAGTGTGTCCATCCAGGGGCCAGAGTGAGACCAGATAGGAAGCAGTTGCTCAGGGGAAGTCCCTTGAGGGAGACAGCAAGGGACTGTTCCCTGCCACACTTCTACCTGGGCTTTTTATTTATTTATTTATTTATTTTTAAGTTTTGGAGCCTATCCTCACTTCCCTTCAAACCCAGCCTTGTAATCTCCCTGTGCTTGCTCCATGCCCCCTGCTCCTGATTTCCCTGGCTCCCTCTTGTCAGAGCTCAACACCAAAACACAGCTTCTGAACCTAGTTCACTCCTGTGCCTTGGGATTTATGAGCAGTCTCATCTCCTGTCTAGATGGGAACAATGCCGAGAACTGTGCTCTAGTTGGTTCATTTCCAAAAAATCTACTGAGGTGAAATTCACAAGTACAGCATTTTAACAAAACTGAGCAATCCTAGCATTTAGTCCATGCATGACAGCATACAGCTTCCTCCTCGAGTTCTGAAACCATCCCCCTTCCCTCCAAACCAGAATACTCTCAACCACCATGCTGATGACCACTGGCCAGCTTTCAGTCTCTGTGGATGTACTTCTGGATGTTTTATATGGACAGAGGCATGCCACAGGGGGCCTTTTGTGTCTGCTGTTTTCACTCAGCATCATGTCCTCAGTAGAACCATCCACAGCTGCCGAAGGTGGGAATCCTCCAATAGGCATTTGAGGTATACCCATGCAATGGAGTATCAGTCAACCTTGATAAAAGGATCAATATCCTGATACATTCCACATGCCACATATGCTGAAGGAGAGTAGCTGATTCATATTTTTATAGCTAAAATTTTTTAATTAACAAAATTTATATTTATCGAATAAAAATATTATCTTGGAATATGTATGCATTGAATAATGAGCAAATGGAGTTAATGAATACATACATTATAACTTTTTAATTTCAAGTGCAACTTAGAATCTACTAATAAATGTTATTTTCTTTAAATTTATATGTGTGAGCCTCTATGAGTCTATGTGCACATGGGCATGCAGAAGCCCTTTGGGGCCAGAAGAGGGCATCAGATCGCCTGGAACTAGCGTTACAGATGGCTGGTGAGCTGCCATGACCACTGAGCCATCTCTCCAGGCCTGTGTAAATGTATAGAATATAGCACATTAGCAATCGAACTGTGCTGTTCATTAGAATCTTCTGAGCTGACTTGTCCTGAAAACAAACTGAAACCATCCAACATTTCCCCAGCATCACCTATCCCAATAACCACCTATTCTGTTTTCTGAATGAGAACATGCCAATCTGACTGCCAACTTTACTGGATTAAGAACCACCTAGAACTCTGGTGAGGTACAACTTGGGGTCTGTCTGTGAGGTGTTTCCCAATAGGATTAACTGCTGGGAGACCCTCTGTGGGTGACACCATCTGTGGCCTAGATTCCCAGACTGAATTAAGAAAAAGAAAGGACCAGCATTCATCTCTCTGCTTCCTGACTATGGATACAGTCATGTGACCAGCTGCCCTACACTCCTGCCACCATGGTGGATTGGATTGTTTCAAATCCTGAGACCAAATAAACTCTTCTAAGTTTATTTGTAATATATTTTGCGGCAGCAATGAGGTGAACAACTGATACATGTATTGTTCATCCCTCTGTGCCTGGCTTCTGTCACTTATCACGGTATCCTCTAGCTTCATCCATGTTTCCTTCTTACATCTTATATCTTC